TCTATATTATGCTTCCGTTGTACTTATTTCAGCTGAACAGCCAACTTCTACTGCTCCAGCTCAAACAAATGGAACTACAGGTTGGGAATTGGCACTTGTTACCGCACCGAGCTCGAATGAGAGTGCCACTGCTGCTAGCAAACTGGTACGTTTTCTTCTAGCAAGATATAGATCAGACATGATTGTTTTGGTTTATAAGGTGGTCTAACCCAAGAAGAGGCATGATTTCGTTTGTTTTCCCCGGTTCGGATTACAGGCTGAAAGAACTATAAAAATCTAAACTTTATCAGCTTATAAGTTATGTGAAAAGTCAAGATTCTTTTTGTCTTTTTATACATTTGACCATAGTACTCCTGTTAAAAATTATTAAATCTTATTTTGTGTTTATCTTTAGTAATTTTTTATATCTTTTCAAATTTGAGTTTTTTTACTAAATTAAAATACTCATTATTTTTTGTAAAACTTAAAAAGTTTTTTTATTTAAAATAACCAAAACAGAGTGTTCACTTTCTTTTTCAATAGTTCAAAAACTTCTTGAACTAAAGAACTATTGCCAAACCCAATGTTCTTATAGACACTATGTTCCTTCTCTCTCTCTCTCTATATATGTGTGTTTGCGCCTGTATATATCTATCACAAAACATGCACACCTGATGTTCACGTGGAGCTTTCACTAAATGTCTCCTTAACTGCATTGATTCAAAAGGCGGGAGGTTTAGACAAGCTTACGCTAGACAGCCTGTATGATGATGCAATCAGAAGAAACAACCAGAATGTGAGCTACAACCCATGGGAACCAGTCCCGGTTGCAGGTTCCATGGTACAGCAACCACTGCACGACCCTTTTTTCGCCTCCAATGCAGTTGCTGCTCCTCCTTCCGTGCAGATGGCAGCACTGGCCAATCAGCAACAAGCTTTCATGTTGCAACAGCAGCACCAAATGATGATGGTGGGCCCACCACAGCAGTCCGCGAATCCGTTTGGCAATCCATACGGTGCAACCGTCCACCCCTACGGTCCCGGTATGCCTGTCCAAACGTACAATCCTTATAATACAGGCCTCATGTAGATGCCCCAGAAACAAATACATTCTGCTTCCGAGAACACGAGGAAAACGTGGGACTGGAATTGAATCCGCAATGCTTTGGAAGATTAGAAAGTTCATGTACAATATGTTGTGAATGTGCAGTAGTTAGGTAGAAGAAGATTCTTTCTTTAATAATTAGTGGGAGGAAAAGAGAGTGGGGGGGG